CCACTTCCCCATGGAGATAAGAGGAAATAAACAAGAATAAGAACTAGAAAGAAAATAGAAGAAAACCCAGAAGGGTGTGTATATATGTGCTTGTACATGTATGTGTAGTGTGACCTAAGTGTAAGTAGAAGTAGCAAGACGTACCTGAAATCTTGCATGTTCATGAGACAGAAAAAAGGACACCAGCAATCCTACCATCATGTAAAACAATTACAGGCTTTCGTTTTACACTCACTTGGCAGGACGGTAGTACCTCCCTGGGCGGTTGCTGTCTACCAACCTACTACCTACAATATATATTTATATATATATATATATATAATATATATATTATATATTATTATTATTTTTTTTTATTATCACACTGGCCGATTCCCACCAAGGCAGGGTGGCCCGAAAAAGAAAAACTTTCACCATCATTCACTCCATCACTGTCTTGCCAGAAGGGTGCTTTACACTACAGTTTTTAAACTGTAGTGTAAAGCACTATATATATATCTTACTTAATCTGTTCCAGAAGGTCATTCTAAATCTGAATAGTGCAACAACCAAAGTAATATTTCCGGTAAGAAATAGTGTAAATTCAATTAATCCATTTCACACACCCTAAAATATTAACAAAAAAATATATTTTTTAAAGAATAACTATAGTTTTGCATACAGAAAACAAAGAGAAATATATATAAAGCACTAAAGAAATGGATAAATGAACATTTAACATCACTTTTACCTTTAATGAAGATTTTTGTTGGCATATGGAGGGAGGAGAGTTTAATGTTTGGAGACAGGACAAATTACTTAAATATGATGCTAATATCAACTCTATGGCTTATTTATCTATCACAATTCATCTAATATGACATAATAAACAATATTAATAACATAGAAACATGATATATATACTCTAGAATGAATAAAATATGTCATTATGTATGTGATTAGTGGTGGTGGTGGGTTAATCAGGGCCACTGACAGCATAAGCCGTACAGTGGTGTGCAGCCACCACCACTAAACACACTGAAACACCACTAGTTACACTGAAACAATGTATGTAATTTACAAATAAGAAATACAGTAGATCGTTATTTAACACGGTAGTTACGTTCCTGAAAACACCATGTTAGGTAAAACCGTGTTAGATGAACTGAAGAACTTATGAGAAAAATAGGGTTACGTTCCTGAGATCCCCCAAAAAGCCCAACAACTTTTTTTTAGGCCTCCACATCTTACAAAAATAAAAGTAAATATGTAATTGCAGTTCATTTTTGTGATGTATTATGTTGTTGTTAACTGTTGAAGACTACAAATGTAACAGAAACAATAGTATTTCTTACCTTAAATTGTGGGTGCTTGTGTTTGTGGATGATTGTGAAGAGAGTGGAGAGTTATGCTGTGGCCCTACTGGTCTGAGGTGGATGGTAGAGGTTCTGGTACTGAAGTTGGTGGTTGCACTAGAGTGTGTAACTTTGTCATTCAGTCAATCAAGTCATTCATTAAGTCAGTCAATTCATTCAGCAAGTCAGTCAAGTCATTTAGTAATCAATCAAGTTATTCAGTAAGTCAGTCAAGTCATTCAGTAAGTCAGTCAAATCATTCAGTAAGTCAATCAAGTCATTCAAATCATTCAGTAAGTCACTCAGGTCATTCAGTTAGTCAAATCATTCAGTAAGTCAGTCAAATCATTCAATAAGTCAGTCAAGTCACTCAGTCATTCAGTAAGCAGTCAGTCAGTCACACAAACTTATGTTTACCTTTTTTTATGTGTACAAAGTAACACTTCATTATGGCCACAGGATGTCTTATCTATTGTCTTTGTTTCTTTCGTTATTTCTAAGACTTAAATTTTTACACCTTTTCTTGCCACTTTGAGCAACACTGGTATGCTTACTGGGTGTCATGATTGCTTGTTAGATACAAGATATAGCAATTAAAAGATCAAAACACAATTCACAATCACAAGCTTGTAGCAGAGAAATCAGACTGGACACGTATGAAGTACGAATGCTGGGATGGTGGGTTGGTGTTGGGGGGTGGCTGGGGATGGTGGGAGGTCTCCCCAGCTGAACCACAACAAGGCTGCTGCTTGAGGAAAAGGGAAGTTTTTTTTTACCTTCCCGCAAACTGAACCATGTTAAATTCATCATACGACTTGTTACATAAAATTGTGCCACAATTCTTCAATCGTGCTATACTCAAATTGTGCCAAATAAACTCGTGCTAAATAATGGTCTACTGTATTGTATAAAAACATAATAGAGAATGTAAGGAAATAAAGTGGTCATTGTGGAGAATATAAAGAAATAAACTGGTTAATGAGATGCTGGCAGAAGTTTAGGGTGGTGGAAGATACGCAGAGCGGCATATGTTGTCAGTGGCCCTATATACCTCCAACAAAATTGGAAGATTTAGTTTCGTGTCATCCTTTTTCTATTGCTTAATCGCTTAACTTACTTGTTACACTGTTAATGTTACACTTTATTGCTGGCTGGCACTATAGCCTTTATCAACTCCTGCTGCTTTAGTGCTGTACATATCATAGAATCACTGAAGAAGGCACATTCTCCCCTCTCTCTCAGCCCATTACCAAAGGGCTGGTACTAGGTGGCGAAATAAGCCCATGGTGGCTTATTTCACAGTCACAATCAATAAACAAGCACAAAAATTGTGAAATGTTTTGGTTGAATGCTCACTCAACCAGTGACAGAGCCAGACTGAAGCAGCATCCTGGCGGGTGGAAGCATCTGATACATGCGATTCCTGGGACTAGGTTCGAAATTCAAAGCAAAGTTTCGTACAAAAAAGTGTCTGAAATCTGAAAAGTCCGATATCCAGTGCATGTGAAATCCAGGGTTCCACTGTATACAGTGAACCCTCGGTTTTCGAGCTTAATCTGTTCCAGAAGGTTACTCTAAATCTGAAATGCTCGAAAACCGAATTAATATTTTCCATAAGAAATAATGTAAATCCAATTAATCCATTCCAGACATCCAAAAGTATTCACAAAAAATTCATTTTTAAAGATTAACTATAGTTTTACATACACAAAACAATGATAAATAAATATAAATAAATAGTATAAACATTACATACCTGTATTGAAGACTCTTGTTGGTGTATGGAAGACAGGGAGGAGAGAGGGAGGATTTATTGTTTGAAAGGGGAATCCCACTCGTGTTTCTCACTTTCTTTACCGAAGGAGTGGCATTTTGAACTTTCTTTGGCCCCCATGGCGGCTTATTTCACAGTCACAGTCAATAAACAAGCACCAAAATGAATGGATGAATGTGCACAGTATTCCTTACTCAACAAGAGACAGACAGACTGAGTGTGATACATGTGAGGAAGTGGCATCGCCGACAAGGTGGATGCATCTCAAATACTCAGTTTCTGAGTGGATGCTTGAAATTCGGGATGAAATTTCACTGAAAAAAGTACTCTAAATCCAAATTACTCGATTTCTGGAACAATTGAAAATTGAGAGTCCACTGTATACATATCTTCCTCATATTTGAATTCAATAAGGTCCAAGGAACAAAACATCTTCAATAAAGGTGTTAACACATTTGTGTCAATTTCCCTCAAGTTGTCAGCAGTCATCTGCCTCCTCATTAAAAAAAATCTCTTACTAAATAATGTTTAATACCTGCTGAATTTTAAGCAATACATACTTATTAAAAAATGCTTCAAGTTGAAAAATGCATAAACATACTATATATGTTAATGTTGCAGTTTAAAAACTGTAGTGTAAAGCACCCTTCTGGCAAGACAGTGATGGAGTGAATGATGGTGAAAGTTTTTCTTTTTCAGGCTACCCTGCCTTGGTGGGAATCGGCCAGTGTGATAATAAAGAAAATAATAAAAATATATGAAGTCCAACCCAAAAAACATGATGGTGTCTGTAATTCTTTTTATTTAACAAATTTAGAAAATCCATTACAATCACCTTCAAAATAGTTCCCTTCTGAGTTGACATAGCTGCATATGATGCTGCCAATGTTCAAAGCAATTCCACAGATCATTTTCTGAAAGGCTGTTGAAGATCTCCGTCATTTTTGCTTTCACACCTTCTACCCACAAAAATTGGGTTCCTTTGCACACTGACTTGATCTTTCAGAAGAGGCAGAAGTCGCAGGGAGCCAGGTTTGGCAAATAGGGTAGGTGCTCAAGCACAGTGATATTTTATTAGCTAAATATTGCTTCACAGATAAAGCTATGTGGGCTGGCATGTTGTCTTGATGCAAAATCCATCTGTTTCTCCACAATTCTGTCATTTCCTTCTCATGCATTTGTGCAATTTTGTTAGAATGCACTGAACACTTTTCCCTGTCCAAATGAACTTTCTCAGCTACTGCTCGAATACCTAACCTTCTGTCTTTTTGAATCACATCTTGCACTTTTTTCAATGTTGTCACTTGTAACTGGTGTGAGTGGGTGGCCTGGGCAATCATCATCTTTGATGATGATCACCCTTCTGAAAATCATTTGTGCCATTTGAAAACATGTGCACTAGACGTGCACTCTTCACCATAAGCCTCGGTTAATAATTGAAAAATTTCCATTGTGGATTTCCTCAGTTTCACAGGAAACTTGATGCTAACTAGCTGTTCACCTTTGCACTCCAACATTTTCTGACTGAGGGTAAGAAAACATCTATATCTAAACATGCATCCAATCGTACTGTGTGAAGCAATAGAGTTGAGCCTTGTCTCACTGTAACAGGTTAGAACATGCTCTACAATCATCTATTTGTCTCTCCCCTCCCATTCCTGGTTCCCCGAGCTATAGGGTTAGTCTCATTTTTTGTTGGACCTTATGTACTAGTGTACAGTACGTATATTTATTTACTATAAATGCTATAAGGATCATTTATAAACAAATATCAATTCAACAAATTAAGAATAAACATTAAAAACAGAGCAATGAGTAAAAGAAAAGCAGTAGTATGATGCAATGAACAGCATGCTGTGAGGAGCTTAAGAGGCAGGTGGTCTTATACTCACAATGTCTGTGTCATTCTGTGTGCCGTGGCCAGTAGTACATACACACATTAGTACATACCCTATTCACTTAAAAGCTGTTAAATTATTTATTCAGAACAAATAATATTGCCAAGTGTTATATAATATGATTACTTAAGAATTATTAGAGTTTATGGTAGTGGTTAATTTGTTATATGCTTAAATACAAAAAAAAAAAAAAAAAAAGATAAGAATGATGAACACACATCTGCATCTGTGCCTGAATGCATTTACATGACTTAAAAATATGATGTATAGGAGAAGCAGTATCATGCCATTAACTATTGATATTCAACCTCTATTACAGTAGAATTATTGCATTTTTTATATATGAGTACAGTGAGGAGGCTTGTGGAGGTGAGGAGAAAGAGAGATGAGACTTACCGGCCACCCAGGCAGGCCTAGGTCACCAATAGACCCAGGAGGCCCAGGCTTGCCCCGACGACCTCTCTTGCCTCGCTTGCCTCGCTCACCCTTAGCACCCTGCAACACGGCAGTGGCAGTCAGTCACAACACCTCCTGTGACTTTCACACTGGGCAAAGTTCCGAATGTTAGGAAAATCTAATATGCTGGATGCACAAACCTTCGCAACTGAGGCCCTTGCTATAATTTCTTGTCATAAATTTCACAGAAACTCACTTGTGCTCAGTCCATAAAGTTTTTTATGAAATGCAAGAAATATCCTGCACATTTTAGTCACTGGTATGAAGGAAAATCCTACAAGACGTGATTATCAGTACTCAGCAGATCTCCATAGATGATGGCAAGTGATACACTGCCTCAGCCACTGCAAGACTGGAATTTATCCCACAAAGTTCCACCCAACTTCCACAGCTGAGATTTATTGTAGAAGCCCTTAACAAATGTTCTACAGTAACTCTAACTTGATGCATATTTTCTTAAATATGAGATTAAAATAATGCATCAAATCTAATATATAAAGTATTTTCTTCAGGTCTACACTACAGCCATGGTATATTCAACCCAGGTGCACTGGAGCATCAACTGTTCTCATCTGCTCTTAATGCAATGTAACCACAGCATATACACCATATCTAACAAAGGCAAAGAACATTCACGAATAAGCTAAACAAAAAAATATACCATACACCATACAGATAGTCAAGTATAATATCCACAAAAAATCCATTATGCCCACAAAATAATACCTAGATCCTCCTAAGAGGTCCAATATACTCATAACAGATCCAGTGAACAACAGATGAATAGCAATAAGATACCTGTCTCCAAAACAATCATAAAAAAACCTGCATACTCAAAATTTCTACAAAATACAACAGACCTTCTGCAATCAAACTATGTCTACCATAATCACTATATTCACTGGCATCATAATAGATTAAAAATATATGATAAATTCAGCATACAAAAACCTACACTAATCTATCCTATTCACAAGCCTCAATGTACCCACAAAAGACACAACACTCCTTCAAAAGTTCAAACTTTTTATAATCCCAATATGCTCACAAAGTGCCAAGTGCCAATAAGCCTATAAAAGTCCCAACAACCTCACAAAATATTCAACATTCAAAAGACACAACACACTCACTAAACCTCCAATGTGCTCACAAAAGATCCAACATACTCACAGATGCTCCAAAGTACTCACAAGACTCCCAGAATGAGAAGGATCAATGTGTGATGGGCTTCCTTTGGCAACTGGCAAAAAACAGTGATTATCCTGCAAGTGTTAGGTGAAGGAAATGAAGGTTTTTCCTTAAACAACAGTTAATAATAAGCTATAAGGCAGCCATGATTCTGAACTAGGTTGCTGCTGTAGCAATGTAGCAGCTGGAACAAATTTATATTGCATGTACAAATGAGTTCAATATTTGCTTTAGTTCTCTCATAGTTTAGTGGCAGAACATTTGACTTTCAACCATTAAGACTCAAGACTGAATCCTGGGCAAGGCAAGACACATGGGCAAATCTCTTACATCTACTGCTCCAGATCACCTAGCAGTAAATAGATATATAGGAGTTAAGTGACTACCGTGGGTTGCATCCTGGGAAAGAAGATGGAAGAACCCCAAAGGAAATAAGCCACATTGCTTGGCTTTCATGTGTTACTAACTTTTACAGGTTATCAGTCAGAAAAAATCATATTTTTTACTGATGTAATAGCATAACAGATTAAAATGAACCTCCTACTTATGTCAAATGCATTTACTAAAAGTTGGAATATTTTCCTATGGTGACTGAAAATCTGTCTTTGCTTGTGCAGTAATTTAACTAATAGTACTATTATTTATGATGTGTGTGTGGACATGTCTTGACCAAATAGTAAAAACAAGATAGGCAGACATACTTGATTTTGAGTGACCACCAGTATTTACAAGCTTCAAGATAAAGTGTCAGTCTAATAACTGATGATAGCGCTACTCAGTGTTTAATATACAGTGTTACTTGTCGAACTCATGAACCTGATTATAGTACTGCCAAAATATTTTCTGGTAGATGATTTGCTAATTTCGTATACAAAATTAAGTTGATTTGAAAATACAATAATAAAAATGACATCTTTCTTTCTTTCTTTCAACACACTGGCCATATCCCAAATAGGCAGGGTGGCCCAAAAGGAAAAACGAAAGTTTCTCCTTTTACATTTAGTAATATATACAGGAGAAGAGGTTACTAGCCCCTTGCTCCCGGCATTTTAGTCGCCTCTTACAATACGCATGGCTTACTGAGGAAGAATTCTATTCCACTTCCCCATGGAGAAAAAATGATATTATCAGTACTTATTGCCACTGTTGCGAATAATGCAACTCTAACTTCATTAATAATTATGGTTTCAATGAATATAAAATAATAAGATTTAATATTTTTAACACATCAGCCATTTTCAACTAGGGTACTTTGACCCCAAGAAAAACAAAACTATTTGTTTTAATTCAATATATAAAAGGGGGTTATAAACCCTTCATACCAGAATTTTAGTCACTTTCTATGACACTGATGTTCATATATTACAAACAGAATATAGAATAGGTGACAGGTGTGCACAGCAGATCAGTGAAGAAGGTGCTTGCCAGATAAATAATTAACTGTACTTGACAAACATTGATCATACAATATAAATTTGTCCCATTTACCAGTGACTGGTCAGCAGAGCAAGAGTTTCATAGCAATATGTTTGTACCACAAATTAATTGTCTTTTGTTACAAATTTTGAGTAGCAGCCTTTTATGTGATTTTGGAGAATGATATGGGATGAAAAGAGTTACAAGAATTTGAAGGCAAGACCAAGTCAGTCATAATAGTGAAGATGATTGTTTTAAAGAAACTGAATCATATTTACAATTTCCTGTAAAATTACTAGGCATAATTTTCATAATGTATATAGATGCTAGATATTAATGTTCACTAGATATTAACAATTAATTAAATAAACTCATTTATGGCACTTAAGAAAATTTCCCATCAAACAACATTAATTTTGTGGTACATGAGGCATTGAAGATAATTATAAGCTCTCTTGAGTGCAAAAAACTCTTTAATCTTGAAATTTTGACAATGAACATTTTGAAAGCATTTCCAGGGGTAACAGAGGAAGGCGATACACCGACCTTGACAACAGTTATGTTGGTGCCATCTGGCTGAATCACTGTGGTGATGGGTCCAGGTGGACCAGCAGGGCCAGGATCTCCCTTAATGCCTGCTGGACCCACTGGACCAACAGCTCCAGGAGGTCCAACTTCACCTGGTCTTCCAGCCTCACCCTAGTACAGCATATGAATAAGAAAATGAATGTCATACATCATACCTCTATCCTTCATTTTGTAAATAATTATATTGCAGTAATTTACTGCCCCATACATTTTTTAAATTTCCTTTTTAGGTTAATTTTACATTCCAGTTTACCAGGGCTAGTCCAAAACCAGACCTAGGAAGTAATGAATCATTAAACATTTATTAACACATGTATATATTATGAAACAGTCAGAAATCTTATGTAAAACAAAAGGATGGTTTGTTACCTTGAGTCCAGGAGGGCCAGGCTCTCCTGGCAGGCCTGGGGACCCCACCTCTCCTTGTTTCCCAGGGATCCCTGGAAGACCTGTTATCCCTGAGGGGCCTTGAGGTCCTGAGATTCCTTGAGGTCCTGGGGGACCTGGGGGTCCTGGGGGTCCCAGCAGACCAGACCCAGCTTCTGTAACCAGTCATATATATGGTTAGAAAGGTCAACTAATTCACTATGTATTGGGATTAAGACCTGTTATAGCTAATGAATAGTCTTGAGGAAGCTATGGTTGGTGTGTACTGTGGCAGATGTAATTCCAATGCAACAATAATAATAATAATAATAATTACGTGCACTGATGAACTCATTGGTTTATAAGATACAGAGGCAAATACTCTTGTGATAAAAAATATATACATTATTTTGTAATTTATGTAATGTTTAAAATAACACATTTTAGTGTATATATACGTGTACAGTGGAACCCCAAGTTTCGGCCGCCCTGAGTATCGTCTAAATTTTGTCCCGAGTTTTGGCTGCTGCCCCGTGTTTCGGCCAGCGTACCAGACCTGTTTGCCTGCCTGTGCCTCCCCACACAGGCATCATGAGCCAGTCTAACTTTGTTTATCCTTGAGTGAACATTACCCTGCATGCTCATCCAAACATTTCACAATAAATTCATTGTGATTAGTGCTTGTTTATTGATTGTGACTGTGAAATAAGCCACCATGGGCCCAAAGAAACTTCATAGAGGCAGTGAAGCAGTATTGGAGGCAGTGGTTGAGGCAGTGGTTGAGGCAGTGGTTAAGGCAGTTGAGGCAGTGGTTGAGGTAGTGGTGGAGGTAGTGATGAAGGCAGTGATGAAGGCAGTGATGGAGGCAGTGATGGAGGCAGTGATGGAGGCAGTGGTTGAGGCAGTGGTTGAGGCAGTGGTTGAGGCAGTGGTTGAGGCAGTGGTTGAGGCAGTGGTTGAGGCAGTGGTTGAGGCAGTGGTTGAGGCAGTGGTTGAGGCAGTGGTTGAGGCAGTGGTTGAGGCAGTGGTTGAGGCAGTGGTGGAGGCAGTGGTGGAGGCAGTGGTTGAGGCAGTGGTGGAGGCAGTGGTGGAGGCAGTGGTTGAGGCAGTGGTTGAGGCAGTGGTTGAGGCAGTGGTTGAGGCAGTGGTTGAGACAGTGGTTGAGGCAGTGGTGGAGGCAGTGGTTGAGGCAATAATACGTCCTCCCTCTCTCCTCCTCCCTATCTTCCGGATGCCAACAAGAGTCTTCAATAAAGGTACATAAATGTAATTTTAAATGTTTATTTATGTATTCAATTACTCATTTAGTACTATATGTATGTTTTAAGTACTATATGTATATTAAACTATAGTTATTCTTCAAAAAATGTATTTTTTTAGTGAATATTTTTGCAAGTCTGGAACAGATTAATTGTATTCACATTATTTCTTATGGGAAATATTGCTTTGACTTTCAGCCATTTCGAGTTTAGGCCTAGCTCCTGGAATAGATTATGGCCAAAACTCAGGGTTCCACTGTATTATGTAAATAATAAATATTATTAATAAACATCATTTAATAAAGAAGGAAATGAGTAATAATAAATTAGTTATATTAACAATATGATGCTCTTCTTTGTATTGTTTGTGGGAATGTTTTAATATCCTCTATTCCTATAGCTCTCTCTCTCTCTCTCTCTCTCTCTTTACAGCCCCATCTGTGTTAAACAACCATTTTGATATCACACATCCCTAAGGCCTATATTCTTTTAATAAGAGGGAAGCATTAAACCCAAAAGGATCATGGAGCACCTGGGTGACAGAGAAATCAGGTTTTAATTGCCAAGTTGGGGGTGGTATTGCAATCTATTACTCTAACCAATTATCTTGTATTAGCACCACTTGCTTTAGTGATGAATATGGGGAATACATTTTTGCTAATTTTACTGTAAAAAACCTTAAGACACCTATAACAATCAGTGCCATTTACCGGATACCTCACACAAACATCCCAAATTTCAGTGAGAAATTAAAGTCACTAATAACAAACAGATAAATGAATAAGCACCACCTTCTCTTAGCTGGAGACTTCAACATCAACCTTGGCTTACTAGATGATCAGCCTGTAACTGATTTCATCAACAATATGAACAACACACTTCTCATACCAACAATAACTAAACCAACCAGGCTCACTGAGACAAGTGCAACCATAATAGACCACATATGGACCAATATACTAGCCCCCCTTAAATCAGGGATAATCACAGATAGCACTACAGACCACTACCCTACCTTCCTCCTGACAAACATTAGTAACCCACCACTTGAATACAACAAAGTCTCATTTAGACTCCATGACGAGGCCTCAATAAGGAAGTTCACAGCTGACCTAAAGATTGTTGACTGGCCTACAGAATTCTCCAAGGCCAATGGTATTGATGACTGGACAGACATTTTCTTAACAAATTACTTAGACTATACAACAAACATTGTCCTATAAAAACGAAACAGATCACAAACAAACGGCTTGGTTGCCCATGGCTAACCAGCACCATTCTGAAATCCATTGACAAGATACACCAATATGAAAAGCAATATAGACAGGGCTTAATACACAAAGATATTCTTAAACACTATTCATCAGTTCTCACCAAAGTAATAAAGAAAGCCAAACAACTATACTACTCCAGTAGATTCACAGACACTAGAGGAGATATAAAAAAGACCTGGAAAACACTCTCAGATTCTAGGGACCCACAAACTGAAAAAAAACCAAGAATATTGTCCTAACTAAACCTAATGAAACACCACTACATCCCACTGACACAGCTAACAAGACAAATGACTTCTTCTCAACCACAGGATCTAATATCGCCAACAAAATCCCACATACCAGTGCCCATGCCGGGGACTACCTAGATGGGAATTTCCCAAATTCCTTCTATCTTGCACCAACTGAGCCCTCGGAAGTCACCGAGATAATAAAATCACTTAAAAACAACTCAGGGAATCTGTCTAATGTCCCACCATTACTGTACAAGCGAGCGGCCCATATCCTTTCGCATGCTATTTCATTACTTTTTAACAAGTCACTAGAAACCAGCACCTTCCCGAAACTACTCAAGATGGCAAGGGTTACACCAATACATAAAGGTGGTGACCCTACAGACTTAAACAACTATAGGCCAATATCAAACTTACCATTGCTATCCAAAATCTCTGAGAAACTCGTGCACAGGAGACTATATTCATTTATAACAGCACAAAACATACTCAACCCCTGCCAATTTGGATTTAGGAAAAATAAAAGCACTAATGATGCAATCATAAAAATGCTAGATCTGCTTTACACAGCAATGGAAAATAAGGAATATCCACTAGGAATTTTTATTGACCTAAGAAAAGCTTTTGACACAGTAGACCACGACATCCTACTCCACAAACTTGACCATTACGGTATAAGAGGCCATGCGCTTGCTTATTTCAAATCTTACCTTACTAATAGGTATCAGTATGTTACCATTAAAGACACAGCATCAACAACACGGCCACTTGATACTGGAGTTCCGCAGGGAAGTGTCCTTGGTCCTCTGCTCTTCCTCATATACATCAATGATCTTCCAAACGTATCCCAACACCTGAAACCCATTCTCTTTGCTGACGACACGACTTATGTCATCTCTCACCCTAATCTTGCCACCCTCAACACCATTGTTAACGAGGAGCTGATCAAAATATCGACTTGGATGACAGCCAATAAACTTACGCTTAACACTGACAAAACCTACTATATTATGTTTGGTAGCAGAGCAGGAGATGCACAAATTAACATTAAGATCGACAACACTCTAATTACCAGACATAATGAGGGCAAATTCCTAGGCCTATACCTTGACAACAACCTGAATTTCAGCACCCATATCCAACACATAACCAAAAAAGTATCCAAAACAGTTGGGATCCTCTCCAAGATACGATACTACGTGCCGCAAAATGCCCTTCTCACACTATACCACTCACTTATTTTTCCATACCTCACCTATGCTATTTGTGCTTGGGGATCAACTGCAGCAACACACCTAAAGCCAATAATAACCCAACAAAAAGCTGCAGTAAGAATAATCACTAAATCCCATCCCTGGCAACACACCCCCCCACTCTTCATAGAACTAAATTTACTCCCTGTTCAGTACATCCACACTTACTACTGTGCAATCTACATCTACAGGACCTTAAACTCCAATATCAACCTTGACCTAAAACGCTTTCTTGATAGTTGTGACAGAACCCACAGGCATAACACCAGACACAAACATCTCTACGACATTCCCCGTGTCCGACTAAACCTTTACAAAAATTCAATGTATGTCAAAGGCCCTAAAATCTGGAACACCCTACCTGAGAACTCTAGAACTGCAGACACATTCATCACCTTCAAAACTACCATTAGAAAACATCTTATCTCCCTGATACACCCCATCAACTAACTACACGAATACCACCTGGTGGTTCACACTTTCACTCACCCATTTGACCATAAACAGAAATATTAATCTCAATCTTAAAATAATGAATCCTATGATACTCCAATACTGAAACTATGTACTGTGCCAAAACAAAAGCATTCACATTGCTAAACTCACAAACTAGTATTTAGTCACTTAGCCATAATACCAACTTACCTCATAATTTGTAATATTTTAAAATAAAGAATTAAACTAAGTCTGCCCGAAATGCCTAGCCATGCTAGGCGTTCTAGTGGTACACTCTGTAATCATTATTTAACTACATGTAAATCACACAACAACCAAATTCTGTAAATTCAACATTGTAATCTTTATAGAGAATAAACTTTGAATTGAATTGAATTGAATCCTGCTGACCCCTCTCCCCTCCCTCTCTCTCTCTCTCTCTCTCTCTTTTCCTACTTCTTCTAGAAAGGGGACCCCCTTAAGGGGCATGCCTAAATGCTGAAGGGCGTTTAATTCAAGGAACTTGAGTTCCACACTTCCTTAGATCAAACCTGATTACCTCTTATTTCCCAGGCACTGTATGACCCCAACGAGCTTAATCCTTTGTCGTGAATATTTTTATAATCCAAGAAACAGTCATATCAATTCCTTGGATCAAGAGTCCTTCACCATAATGAAGGCACCCCCTACTTTGAAGTGAACTATAAAAGTGTCAGAGGGTGAAGGCAGGTAAGTCAGTGCTGGAGCAGTAGGCATTATCTACTGTACCAAGTACGTACAGTATACTAATATGTAATACGATTGTTCATTAGCTACCTTTTTATTGCATTTATGATTGTAATTAACTGCATAAGATGTCCTACTTAATAGTCTGTGTCTAGATCTTAAGTAACACTGAAGCATTAGGATTAGTTTGCCCACAATGCATTGCATAATTAGTTGCTTTTTGTGCCACTTATTACACGTCAACTACATTATTTGTTCTGCATAAAGAAATAAAAATTGCATTGTATCGTAAGACATGCTGTTTATTGCATTTTATTGAGAAGACTTTTGTCTAGTATATAAGAGACCTCAGGCATATTGTTATATTATTATACAACACCGACAAATACACATATGTAAGTAGGCAACACATGCAACAGTTAGCTATCTTTATTTCTAAAGCATGTAGTCACCTGTTTTAAACTGCAGAAGTGTAAACATTTCAGAAATTAAGATTCCTAACCATCTACCTTATATAGGTGGATGAAACATCTCAATAAAATGCATTAAACTGCCTACTGTGTCTTATTAACATACCATACCATTCCTGCCAGTTTCTCTTTCTCATTCTGTACAGTCTCTTGATCCATTATATGCCTCTGTAATCTTTTGACTGCCGCCCACACTATGGGTACCTGGAGGGGAGTTCCAGGAGGGAGTTCCAGGGTCAAAGCTCCCACAGCTTCCTTTCTCATATACAGCCTTCATCAAACACACACACAATCATCACCAAATATTCTTACAATTGCCAAACATGTACAATCATCACCAAATGTATGTGCAATCACCAAATATACAATCATTAAACACATGCAGGGACACAGTCATTAAATACAGTGGACCCCGACCAATGGCGGTATTGGCTAACGCCAAAATCAGCTAACGGCACTTTTTGGCATCAAAATATTGGCTCGACCAACGCCAAAAAATTTGGCTAAGGACTTTCGTCCCGAACATGTCCGTGCACCTGAGCAGGCCCAGCCACTCCATGTATAGCCAGTGTGCCATTGTTTACAAGCCGTTGCGGTCGATTCCACACGTACATGCGATATATTTTGCATTATTCCATCGTTTTAAGTGCTTGTAACTGCTAAATAAGCCACCATGGGCCCCATAAATGCTTCTAGTGCCAACCCTGTGGTAAAAAGGGTGAGAAATACTATCAAAATACTATCGTACCATGGTCAGCTGCTGCTGCACCACCATCAGCTGCTGCTGTACCACCATCAGCTGCTGCTGTACCATGGTCAGCTGCTACTGCTGTTGTACCACCATCAGCTGCTGCTGTACCATGGTCACCTGCTGCTGCACCACCATCAGCTGCTGCTGTACCACCATCAGCTGCTGCTGTACCATGGTCAACTGCTACTGCTGTTGTACCACCATCAGCTGCTGCTGTACCACCATCAGCTGATGCCATACCACAGTCAGCTGCTGCTGTACCACGGTCAGCTGCTGCTGCTGTACTACCATCACCTGCTGCTGCACCACCGTCAGCTGTACTACTCGAAGATGTGGAGAGACTGTTGTTGGTGTGGCTTAACGAGAAACAATTACTGAGAAACAATTAACCCCAGAGGGTTAGCCACCCAGGATAACCCAAGAAAGTCAGTGCGTCATCGAGGACTGTCTAACTTACTTTCATTGGGGTCCTTAATCTTGTCCCCCAGGATGCGACCCACACTGGTCGACTAACACCCAGGTGAACAGGAAAAAATGCCTGGAGCTAGTGCTCATATTGGTGAATTTAAGGCCAGCAAAGGTTGGTTTGAGAGATTTAAGAATCATAGTGGCATACAGTGTGATAAGGCATGGCAAAGCTGAAAAATTCCAGCCCCAACAAGTGTTAATTTGTGAAAAACAGGCCTGTTCTGGAAGAAAATGCCAAACAGGACTTACATTACTCAGGAGGAAAAGGCTCTCCTAGGACACAAGCCTATGAAAGACAGGCTAACTCTTGTTTTGTTGTAATGCTAATGGGGATTAGCATTAGCAACAGTGTCTCATCACTCATCAATACTCTTCAATAAAGGTAAGTGTCATTTTAGTATTCATTTATGTATCTGTGCATGTCTCATTGTTTTCTGTGTAGGGAAATGTATATTTCATGTAAAAAAATATTTCTTTTTTAAACTTTTGGCTGTTTGGACCAGATTAATTGAATTTCCGTTATTTCTTAAGGGGAAAATTAATTCTGCTAATGACTAATTTGGCTAAAGGCTAGCTCTCTGGAATGGATTAAAGATGTTAGTTGAGGGTCCACTGTACAAATAGAAGCTCAATCACCAAACACACACACAAAGCTGATAATGGTCAAGAGAAAGCCTGTATCTTAGTACTGCTTCTGTACCTCAAATAAATGAGCTGTTCCTGTGCGCGCGTGTGTGTGGAAGGGGATAATGACTCTGTCCTGGTGAACCTGACTGCTTGTTGGTCATGACACTCAATTGTAAGCTTGTAAGCAACATGTATCTCTACCCCCTCAGTGCAGTTCCATATAAAAGTTTCGTTAAGCACACAAATGATGCTGGCGAAAGGCAGTACGCATATTAAACTATGATAGAAAAGTGCAATAAACTATCATAGGAGAGTACATGCTTTAAAAAAGAGCAAAATACTATTAGATGCAAGATTCATGGACTTACTGGGAGACATGAGCCATACTGGTACTGGAAGATGTGAGCCATACTGGTACTGGGAGACATGAGCCATACTGGTACTGGGAAATGTGAGCCATACTAATACCAGGAGATGTGTGCTATACTGATACTGAGACATGAACCATACTAGTACTTAATGTGAGATACGAACCTACCAGAATTAGGAGACACAAGCCATACTGGTACTGGGAGATATGAGCCATACCGGTTCTTACTGAGAGATGTGAGCAATACTGGAAACACAGGGAGACATAAACCATACTGGTGCTGGGAGTCATGAACCATACTGGTACTGGGAAATTAATATTATTATATTTACAGGGAAATGCTTAACCTGAGTGGGTCATACAGCACTGGGGAAATGGGAAGCAATCAAGTTTGATCTAAGGAAATGGAATTCGACTTAAATTCCTTGGATCAAGAGCCCCTCACCAGCATCAAGAAGCCTCCCTTGAGAGATGGTACTAGGAGACATGAGCTGAGAGATATGACCCACATTTGGACCATTTAGGATATGCAAACCACATCCATACAGGGATGAGCCATAATGACATTCTCTGGGAGACCTGATCCATTCTAGGACATACTGGGAGGATAGGAATTGTATTGGGATGTATCCTACTTGGGAAATGAGTCAGTCAATTGTGAACTTGCAAAAAAGACAAATCTTATCTGTACTGTATGATATAAAGCCACACTGGAACTTACTGGGAGATATGAGCATTACTGGGACTACTGGGAGACTTGAGTTGTATTGATGTGGGACTTACTGGGATAGAAAGGTTTGTACTCCACCAGTCCTGAGCCCTCCAACTTGAAATCCTCATCATCTCCCACTGCGGTGAGGCCGAGGAAAGGTACATCAAGGAAAAAGGAAAACAAACATAAGTCACTAGGTGTGTCCTCACAAAGCTGTAGTGTGCCGTGCGCCTTGCTGAGGCTCACACATGCCCCAGATGTTAAGATGTGTAGTGACACCTGTCAAGTCACTTGGTGCAGCCTTACTGCTACAGCTGTCACATATATGGCGACTGACATTTTCTGAATGTGAGATACAGGTGTTGGGCCAGAATTCAGAGGCAGGTGTCCAATACATGTAGTAGAGCCTGACACCTGCTGCTGCATTCAGATATCTGTGTCTGCTTGACACCTGGATCTCACATTTCACCTGCTGGCAGTGTAGAGCACATCTGGCAAGATATATAGAGCAACAAGCAGCTTAGGTCATGCAGCATGATAGCGCAAGTCAAGATTTTAAAATTGTGTAGCGGTCAAAGCTGAAATATATGGAATGAACAAGTTATAAGATATTAAGTTATCACAGTACTGCAAATTGGATAACAGTGAGAGATAACGAATACAAAAAATATGCAAGAATTGTATAATTACAGTCTTAGGACTGTGGTTTGTGTATTGTATTTCATATTCAAGCAATATTGTTGTACTGTTATAAGAACTTACTGATATTGTATATGCAATAAGGTAAGCTACAAAAATTAATAAATAAACAAGAGTGTGTGTGTTTGTGTGTGTGCTCACCTAGTTGTGGTTGCAGGGGTTGAGTCACAGCTCCTGGCCCCACCTCTTCACTGGTCGCTACTAGGTCACTCTTCCTGCTCCATGAGCTTTATCATACCTCTTCTTAAAGCTATGTATGGATCCTGCCTCCACTACATCACTTCCCAGACTATTCCATTTCCTGACAACTCTGTGACCGAAGAAATACTTCCTAACATCCCTGTGATTCATCTGAGTCTTCAACTTCCAACTGTGACCCCATGTTGCTGTGTCCCATCATTGGAACATCCTGTCTCTGTCCACTGTGTTGATTTCGCTCAGTATTTTACATGTCGTTATCATATCATCCCTCTCTCTCCCGTCCTCCAGTGTTGTATCCACATAGGACATGCTCCTTAGCTCTGGGACTAGTCTTGTTGCAAACCTTTGCACTTTCTCTAGTTTCTTTATGTGATTGGATAGGTGTGGGTTCCAAACTGGTGCTGCATATTCCAATATAGGCCTAATGTACATGGTATACAGGGTCCTGAACAATTCCTTATTGAGATGTTGGAATGCTGTTCTTAGGTTTGCTAAGTGCCCATATGCTGCAGCAGTTATTTGGTTGATGCACACCTCAGATGTGCTTGGTGTTATACTCACCCGAAGATCCTTTTCCTTGAGTGAGGTTTGTAACCTCTGGCTCCTTAGACTGTACTCCGCCTGCCGTCTCCTTTGACCTTCCCCACTCTTCATGACTTTGCACTTGGTGGGGTTGAACTCCAGGAGCCCATTGCTGGACCAAGCATACAGCCTGTCCAGATTCCTTTGTAGTTCTGTCTAGTCCTTGTCCGACAGAATTCTTCTCAACTTCACATCATCTGCAAACAGGGACACTTCTGAATTTATTCCTTCCATCATTTTTATTTTTATTATCACACTGGCCGATTCCCACCAAGGCAGGGTGGCCCGAAAAAGAAAAACTTTCACCATCATTCACTCCATCACTGTCTTGCCAGAAGGGTGCTTTACACTATAGTTTTTAAACTGCAACATTAACACCCCTCCTTCAGAGTGCAGGCACTGTACTTCCCATCTCCAGGACTCAAGTCTGGCCTGTCGGTTTCCCTGAACCCCTTCATAAATGTTACTTTGCTTACACTCCAACAGCATGTCAAGTATTAAAAACCATTTGTCTCCATTCACTCCTATCAAACACGCTCACGCATGCCTGCTGGAAGTCCAAGCCCCTCGCACACAAAACCTCCTTTACCCCCTCTCTCCAACCTTTCCTAGGCCGACCCCTACCCCGCCTTCCTTCCACTACAGACTGATACACTCTTGAAGTCATTCTGTTTCGCTCCATTCTCTCTACATGTCCGAACCACCTCAACAACCCTTCCTCAGCCCTCTGGACAACAGTTTTGGTAATCCCGCACCTCCTCCTAACTTCCAAACTACGAATTCTCTGCATTATATTCACACCACACATTGCCCTCAGACATGACATCTCCACTGCCTCCAGCCTTCTCCTCGCTGCAACATTCATCACCCATGCTTCACACCCATATAAGAGCGTTGGTAAAACTATACTCTCATACATTCCCCTCTTTGCCTCCAAGGACAAAGTTCTTTGTCTCCACAGACTCCTAAGTGCACCACTCAATCTTTTCCCCTCATCAATTCTATGATTCACCTCATCTTTCATAGACCCATCTGCTGACACGTCCACTCCCAAATATCTGAATACATTCACCTCCTCCATACTCTCTCCCTCCAATCTGATATTCAATCTTTCATCACCTAATCTTTTTGTTATCCTCATAACCTTACTCTTTCCTGTATTCACCTTTAATTTTCTTCTTTTGCACACCCTACCAAATTCATCCACCAATCTCTGCAACTTCTCTTCAGAATCCCCCAAGAGCACAGTGTCATCAGCAAAGAGCAGCTGTGACAACTTCCACTTTGTGTGTGATTCTTTATCTTTTAACTCCACGCCTCTTGCCAAGACCCTCGCATTTACTTCTCTTACAACCCCATCTATAAATATATTAAACAACCACGGTGACATCACACATCCTTGTCTAAGGCCTACTTTTACTGGGAAATAATTTCCCTCTTTCCTACATACTCTAACTTGAGCCTCACTATCCTCGTAAAAACTCTTCACTGCTTTCAGTATCCTACCTCCTACACCATACACTTGCAACATCTGCCACATTGCCCCCCTATCCACCCTGTCATATGCCTTTTCCAAATCCATAAATGCCACAAAGACCTCTTTAGCCTTATCTAAATACTGTTCACTTATATGTTTCACTGTAAACACCTGGTCCACACACCCCCTACCTTTCCTAAAGCCTCCTTGTTCATCTGCTATCCTATTCTCCGTCTTACTCTTAATTCTTTCAATAATAACTCTACCATACACTTTACCAGGTATACTCAGCAGACTTATCCCCCTATAAATTTTGCACTCTCTTTTATCCCCTTTGCCTTTATACAAAGGGACTATGCATGCTCTCTGCCAATCCCTAGGTACCTTACCCTCTTCCATACATTTATTAAATAATTGCACCAACCACTCCAAAACTATATCCCCACCTGCTTTTAACATTTCTATCTTTATCCCATCAATCCCGGCTGCCTTACCCCCTTTCATTTTACCTACTGCCTCACGAACTTCCCCTACACTCACAACTGGCTCTTCCTCACTCCTACAAGATGTTATTCCTCCTTGTCCTATACACAAAATCACAGCTTCCCTATCTTCATCAACATTTAACAATTCCTCAAAATATTCCCTCCATCTTCCCAATACCTCTAACTCTCCATTTAATAACTCTCCTCTCCTATTTTTAACTGACAAATCCATTTGTTCTCTAGGCTTTCTTAACTTGTTAATCTCACTCCAAAACTTTTTCTTATTTTCACCCACTCTCTCATTTGCTCTCTTTTTACATTGCTTCACCACTCTCTTAACCTCTCTCTTTTTCTCCATATACTCTTCCCTCCTTGCATCACTTCTACTTTGTAAAAACTTCTCATATGCTGACTTTTTCTCCCTTACTACTCTCTTTACATCATCATTCTACCAATCGCTCCTCTTCCCTCCCGCACCCACTTTCCTGTAACCACAAACTTCTGCTGAACACTCTAACACTACATTTTTAAACCTACCCCATACCTCTTCGACCCCATTGCCTATGCTCTCATTAGCCCATCTATCCTCCAATAGCTGTTTATATCTTACCCTAACTGCCTCCTCTTTTAGTTTATAAACCTTCACCTGATGCTTCTATTCTCCTTGTATCCCATCTACCTTTTACTCTCAGTGTAGCTACAACTAGAAAGTGATCTGATATATCTGTGGCCCTCTATAAACATGTACATCCTGAAGTCTACTCAACAGTCTTTTATCTACCAATACATAATCCAACAAACTACGTACTGTCATTTCGCCCTACATCATATCTTGTATACTTATTTATCCTCTTTTTCTTAAAATGTGTATTACCTATAACTAAACCCCTTTCTATACAAAGTTCAATCAAAGGGCTCCCATTATCATTTACACCTGGCACCCCAAACTTACCTACCACACCCTCTCTAAAAGTTTCTCCTACTTTAACATTCAGGTCCCCTACCACAATTACTCTCTCACTTGGTTCAAAGGCTCCTATACATTCACTTAACATCTCCCAAAATCTCTCTCTCTCCTCTACATTCCTCTCTTCTCCAGGTGCATACACGCTTATTATGACCCACTTTTCGCATCCAACCTTTACTTTAATCCACATAATTCTTGAATTTACACATTCATATTCTCTTTTCTCCTTCCATAACTGATCATTTAATATTACTGCTACCCCTTCCTTTGCTCTAACTCTCTCAGATACTCCAGATTTAATCCCATTTATTTCCCCCCACTGAAACTCCCCTACCCCCTTCAGCTTTGTTTTACTTAGGGCCAGGACATCCAACTTCTTTTCATTCATAACATCAGCAATCATCTGTTTCTTGTCATCCGCACTACATCCACGCACATTTAAGCATCCCAGTTTTATAAAGTTTTTCTTCTTCTCTTTTTTAGTAAATGTCTACAGGAGAAGGGGTTACTAGCCCATTGCTCCCGGCATTTTAGTCGCCTCATACGACATGCATGGCTTACGGAGGAAAGATTCTTTTCCACTTCCCATGGACAATAGAAGAAATAAAGAACAAGAGCTATTTAGAAAAAGGAGAAAAACCTAGATGTATGTATATATATATGCATGTGCATGTCTGTGAAGTGTGACCAAAGTGTAAGTAGGAGTAGCAAGATATCCCTGTTATCTAGCATGTTTATGAGACAGAAAAAGAAACCAGCAATCCTACCATCATGCAAAACAGTTACAGGTTTCTGTTTCACAGTCATCTGGCAGGACGGTAGTACTTCCCTGGGTGGTTGCTGTCTACCAACCTACTACCTATCATGTCATTCACAAATACCAGAAACGGCACCGGTCCTAGGATTGACCTCTGTGGAACCCCGCTTGTCACAGGCGCCCACTCTGACACCTCGCCCCGTACCATAACTACCTGTTGTCTTCCTGATAGGTATTCCCTGATCCATTGCAGTGCCTTTCCTGTTATCCCTGCCCGGTCTTCCAGCTTTTGCACTAATCTCTTGTGTGGAACTGTGTCAAAAGCCTTCTTACAATCCAAGAAAATGCAATCTACCCACCAGCCTCTCTCTCTCTCTCTCTCTCTTTTCTGTGTGTGTGCACGTGTGTGTGTGTGTGTGTGTACTCACCTATTTGTGGTTACAGGGGTCGATGCATAGCTCCTGGCCTTGCCTCTTTACTGTTCACTACTAGATCCTCTCTCTCCCTGCTCCATGAGCCTTATCAAACATCGTCTTAAAACTATGTATGGTTCCTGCCTCCACTATGTCACTTTCTAGGCAATTCCACTTCCTGACAACTCTATAATTGAAGGAATATTTCCTAACATCCCTATGACTCATTGGAGTCTTCAACTTCCAATTGTGACCCCTTGTTTCTGTGTCCCATCTCTGGAACATCCTGTCTTTGTCCACCTTATCAATTCCTCGCAGTATTTTACATGTCGTTATCATGTCTCCCCTAATCCTTCTGTCCTCCAATGTTGTCAGGCTGATTTCCTTTAATCTTTCTTCATAGGACAATCTCCTTAGCACTGGGACTAGTCTTGTTGCAAACCTCTGCACTTTCTCTAATTTCTTGACATGCTTGCCCAAGTGTGTACTCCAATATGGGCCTGATATACATGGTGTACAGAGCCTTGAATGATTCCTTACTGAGGTATCAGAATGCTATTGTTAGGTTTGCCAGGTGCTCATATGCTGCAGCAGTTATCTGGTTGATGTGTACCTCAGATGTGCTCAGTACTATACTCACCCCAAGATCTTTTTCCTTGAGTGAGGTTTGCAGTCTCTGGCCACTTAGACTATACTCTGTCTGTGGTCTTCTATGCCCTTCCCTGATCTACATGACTTTGCATTTGGCATGGTTAAATTCAAGAAGCCAGTTGCTGGACCAGGCTTGTAGCCTGTCCAGGTCTCTTTGTAGCCCTGACTGATCTTCATCCGATTTAATTCTCCTCATTAACTTCACATCATCTGCAAACAGGGACACTTCTGAGTGTATCCCTTCTGTCATGTCATTCACATATATCAAAAACAGCACAGGGCCTAGGACTGATCCCTGTGGAATCCTGCTCGTCACAGTTGTCCACTCTGACACACAGTCACGTACCATGATTCGTTGTTGCCCCCCCTGTCAGATATTCTCTGATCCACTGCAGTGCCTTTCCTGTTATGCATGCCTGATCCTGTAACTTTAACATTAACCTCTTGTGAGAAGCTGTGTTGAAGGCCTTCTTGCAGTCCAAGGAAATGCAATTTATCTACCCCTCTCTCTCATGTTTTACTTCTGTTACCTTGCCATAAAATTCCAGTAGGTTTGTGACACAGGATTTTCCTTCCCTGAAACCATGCTAGTTGTCATTTATAAGCTTGTGTCTTTCTAGGTGCTCCACCACTCTCCTCCTGATAATCTTCTCCATGACTTTGCATGCTATACACGTCAGTAACACAGGTCTGTAGTTTAATGCCTTGTGTCTGTCTCCTTTCTTAAAAATTGGGACTATTTGCCATCTTCCATACCTCAGGTAGTTGCCCAGTTTCAATGGATGTGTTGAAGATTTTTGTTAGTTGCACACACAGCATCTCTGCTCCCTCTCTAAGGACCCACAGAGAGATGTCTGGTCCCACTGCCTTTGAGGTATCAAGTTCACACAACAGCTTCTTCATCTCCTCCTTGGTTGTGTGTATTTCATGCAACACTTGTTGGTGTACCTCCCTGTTCTGACTTCCTGGAGTCCTTCCTGTCTCCACTGTAACTTCTTTAAATCTCATGTTGAGCTCCTTACATACTTCTTGGTTGTTTCTTGTGAACTCCCCACTTTCCTTCCTCAGCCTGATTACCTGGTCCTTGACTGTTGTTTTCCTCCTGATGTGGCTATACAACAGCTTTGGGTCAGACTTGACTTTTGATGCTATGTCATTTTTTATTGTTGCTGAGCCTCCTTTCTTATCTGTGCATATTCATTTCTGCCTCTTCAGCTAATCTCTCTATTTTCCTGGGTCCTTTGTCTTCTGTACTTTTTCCCTTCTCTAGTACACTTAGTTTTTGACTCCCTACACTTCAGGGTGTACCGAGGACTCGTTCTGGTCTTCCCATTATTTCTGTTTCCCTTGGAAACAAGCTTCTCTGCTTTCTTGCATTTTGTTATCATGTAGTCCATCATTTCTTTTACTGGTTTTCCTGCTAATTCTCTTTCCAACTGAACATCTTGCAGGAAGTTCCTCATGCCTGTCATTTATACATACAAGAAATATTGATCCCAATACTGATCCTTGTGGAATCCCATTCATAACACTTGCCCATTTTGACACTTCTTCCTAGACAATCACTTGTGTCCTACCTGTCAAGGATTCCTTGTCACTATATTGCCTTCTCTGAAATTCCTGCCTGCCCCTCTTAGAGTTTGTTGCAGTCTTTTATGCAGTACTATATGAAAAACCTTCCTACAGTCCAAAAATATGTAGTCTATTCATTTTCCCCCCTCTTGCTGCCTCACTTCTGTTTGTCATGGAACTCAAGTAAGTTCTTGAAACAAGAATTACCATTTTTAAAATTGTAGTAGCTGTTTATGAATCTGCTCCTTCCCAATTACTTTGCTATTTTTCTTTTAATAATCTTTTCATAACTTTCCATACTGTGCATATCAGTGACATCAGTCTGTGGTTTAATTAATGCTACATGTCTGTTCCTTTTCTTAAATATTGGAACTGCAGTCACCATCTTCCACACCTCTGGCAGCTGTCCTGTACCAAATGACATTTAAAAATGCTGCTATTGATTCACACAATGATTTTGCTTCCTCTCTCAGAACCCACAGAATTTTTATTCACTCACACTTCCTTCAAAACAGCTAGTTTCCTTCTTCATTTCTTCTTCCTCTGGTATGTGTGTTGTGTCCAGTACTCTTTGGTAATTTCCTCTGCAAATACCCTCTTAAATGTTTTGTTTAGATCCTTGCAGACTCCCTGGTCATTTCTTGTGAGTTCTCTCTTCTTCCCCAGTCTTATTATCTGGTCTTTTATAGTTGGCTTCCCTCTGATGTGGCTATGTAGAGGCTCTAGTTTAGATTTTGCTTTCACTGCCATGTCATTCTCAAATTCTCGTTCAGCCTCTCTCTTTATCCAACACATATTCATGTCTGCTCACTTCCCTGTTCTCCTACATTCTTTGCTCTCCATGTTTCTTCCATGCTTCACACTCTTAGCTTTTGCCTGTGTACTAACCTAACTGTGGTTGCAGGGTCGGACCCTAGCTCCTGACCCACCTCTTCAATGACTGCTACTGTGTGGGTGTGCAATTTAATTTAGGTCAAGGCTCAGAAATATAAAAAAAATATTCATGTGCTGAGAAAAGTCAGCAATATCAAGTAAAAATGCAGACTATAACTAAAAAAAGTATACTAAATATTTTACATGAATACATTCAATAAAAATTAAAGACAACTGTTTTGACTATCTACATTTACATTCAAATGGCAAAAATCACCTGTGTGGACTACCTACTTAATAGAAAAACACACAAATATATACTTGCAGAAAATGCATACTATGCATCAAAGTACATTAAAAAAAAGCTATTCTAATAAAGCGCATGAAGCACTAGGAAAAAAAGTTAGGAAGAATAAGGAGCCTACCATAAGAGGTCAGTTTGAACAACCCACATTCGATTTAACTTAAGTTATTCACAGTACACTAATTAGGTCATCAATCAATGTTCAGGATACTCGAACACCACAATGCACTTAATCCCAACACCAAAAATTCACTTGTGTAGGCCAGCAGCAGCACAGCACATGGTGCTGTCCTACCTTCTATCCAAGGTACCCCGCCAGCATTATTCCAGAGACTGAAGCCGCCTCCTCCACTCGCTGTGTCGCCACCTGCTTTACCATCCAGGGTATCAATCAGCTGCCATGGAGAGGTAGAATATAATGACAGGTGTGGGTTAGAGGTCTTGTGGAAGGTTTGGGTTTGAGGTCTTGTGGCAGGTTTGGTTTAGAGGTCTTGTGGGATGTATAAGGTATGAGTGGGGTGTATGAAGCATAAGTGGGGGTGTATAAGGTATGAGTGGGGTATATGAAGTATAAGTGGGGGTGTATAAGGTATGAGTGTGGTGTATGAAGTATAAGTGGGGGTGTATAAGGTATGAGTGGGGTGTATGAAGTATAAGTGGGGGTGTATAAGATATGAGTGGGGTGTATGAAGTATAAGTGGGGGTGTATAAGGTATGAGTGGGGTGTATGAAGCCTAAGTGGGGTGTATAAGGTATAAGTAAGGTGTATGAGTTTATGTATAAGGTATGAGTTTATGTATGAGGTATGAGTGGGAGTGTATGAGGTATACAAGTGGGAGAGTATAAAGTATGGGAAGATTTATAATAGTTTTTTAGCATTTCATGAACTCCTAGTATAAGATGAGCTTCTCAGTATGATGTTGGGAGAACTCAATAGCCAACATGGGTTCAGAGCCTTTTTGTGATTATTATTATTATTATTATTATTATTATTATTATTATTATTATTAATTATTTATTATTGCTATAGGAGATTTCTGTATTAGTCTGGCAATAGTACTTTGTTCATAATAACTCATATATTCCTATGTGTAAGGCATTCAATATTTTATCACAATTTATATTCTTCATGTCTCTTGTTTCAATTTTCACTTTTTTCCATTATATTTATATCTGGTCACAATCATGAACAAGTTACAAAGGTAATGAACTATTTATATGACCAGATGTAGACATATAAATAGTTCATTACCTTTATAACTTGTTCAGCTATCAAAACTTTACAGCTCAATCCTGGGACCCATTACGTATATACCTCTGTAATCTTTTGATACCAACCACAGGATGGGTATAGGGTGCATAATAAAGATATTAAACTAAGCTAACCAATATGAGACACTTAGGAAATTGAAATCAAGTTCCTTCTTCCTTCTGTTAATATATGCTCAGTTTATTAAACTTTCTCATGGGAAATATTTTCTTATTTTGCATAAAATTCTGCTTTATATTTGTAATTATAGTTTATGTACTGTGGCAAAATATTTATATAATGAGTAACATTACTGAAGCCAGTACTGTTCCATATGGAACATTACTGGTGGTGACATTACCTTGTGAGGAAAATATTCTCTCTCATGTGTTTACATTTTAAAATAGAAAAAATCTTTCATTAAGTAAGTTTATTCAGATATAGGTATGCAAATACAGTTACATAAATTATCATACATAGCAACAAATGTGTAGATTTCCTAGGATAACCCAAAAAAGATCAGGCAAAATGACTTATTTCCATTAGGTTATTGTAACAACATGCCATTAATTACTCCATATTTTGTAGTTTCTGGATAAGTCTTTTATAAAGAAGTTTATCAAAAGTTTTTGTGATGTCCAAATAAATGAAATCTGCCCATCAGTTACTTTTATCGTTTTTTTTGGCAATAATTGGAGACTTCATATACTGTATTGTGTTTGACCGAAGCTGAGCTGCTGCATCAGGAAACAGTTGTCCTGTTTCCTGATGAATGTTAGCTAACCTAACCTGATTCCCTCAATAACAAGTAGGTGAACACAGCTAGGTGAATACTTATCCCTCAACATAGATGCTAGTCAACATACTCACATATACACTCACCTGGTCAATAATAATCCTGCGGTCCTCCTCAGAGAGTCCTCCAGGAATGCCTGGTGGCCCTGGCTGACCAACTCCTGGCACTCCTCGTTCACCTGTGGGAACATGGGCACTGTGCTAACAACTTACTTATATCTTTATCTCCAGGTATCTCAATGTCAGAGATGACAATAAAAAAAATGAATACAACCATGAAGCAACACAGCCCCTTCTGCTGTACTGCACTACTGTGAACTAACTCAGTATACATATCAATGGCAGAACATACCAACAAGCAACTGTAAGAATTACCATTAATTTGCCCAAAATGCTCATGTATACTAGAGGCTTTCTTTGTGCTTTTGTGCCCCATGGCCTGGTGGCTAAAGCTCTCACTTCACACGGTGAGGGTATGGGTTCAATTCCCAGTGAGGGTAGAAACACTGGGCATGTTTCTTTACACTGGTTGTCTATGTTCACCCATCAGTAAAATGGATACCTGGGAGTTAGTCTACTGGTGTGGGTCGCATCCTGGGACTAAACTGACCTAATTTGCCTGAAATGCTCTGCATAACAAGTGGCTTTCTATATAGTATTGTGTCATTGATGTCAGCTAGGCCTGTATACCATGTACATGTACTTGTAGTAAATAAAAGTATTATTATTATTATTATTTTTTTTTTCAACAAACTGGCCATATCCCACCAAGGCAGGGTGGCCCAAAAAGAAAAACAAAAGTTTCTCTCTTTAAATTTAGTAATTTATACAAGAGAAGGGGGTTACTAGCTCCTTGCCCCTAGCATTTTAGTTGCCTCTTACAACAGCATGACTTATGGAGGAAGAATTCTGTTCCACTTTCCCATGGAGAGAAGAGGAAATAAACAAGAACAAGAACAAGAACTAGAAAGAAAATAGCAGAAAACCCAGAGGGGTGTGTATATATATGCTTGTATATGTATGTGTAGTGTGACCTAAGTGTAAGTAGAAGTAGCAAGACGTACCTGTAATCTTGCATATTTATGAGACAGACAAAAGACACCAGCAATCTTACCATCATGTAAAACAATTACAGGCTTTCATTTTACACTCACTTGGCAGGATGGTAGAACCTCCCTGGGTGGTTGCTGTCTGCCAACCTACTACCTAAAATTATTATTATTATTATTTTTATTATTATTGTATACGTAGTACGGAAAGAAACAAAAATTTTGAATAGGAATTTTGAAGTGTTAGACGCAATTTATTTATTTATTTATTTTGTCTTTGCAAACAGTACATTGAGATTTTGTATTTACAATAGTGGGTTGCAATGCAAAGAGAGCCTCTATTATGCCTAGGCATTATGGGCCAACTTAACATTATTGGCTTACAGACTACTTAACAACAAGGATTATATCATAGTTGTACAGTAGGATAGTAATTATTTCATAGTTGTACAGTAGATTATTAATTATAAGTGAATCTAATTTGTATAATGCCATAAAACCACATATTGTATTTTGTTAACAAACCTGCTCAAGGAGTTACTCTTTACTGTTAAGGAAAAAATATGAATGCATTTCTTATTTATGCTATAACTAAATTTAAAAAGTAAATAAAATATCAGTCATTTCTCACAATGGTATGGTTACCTAAAAATGAAAACTCTTTCACAATTATTAATTCCTTAACTAATTCTCTTTGCCAGAAGTGCATGACCTAATTGTACAGTGCAACAATATGTTAAATCCCAAAAACCACTGGATTTTGCTCACTCTAATCTAACATGCTCACACAGGCTTGCTATATGCTCAAACTTCTACAGCAGTAGAACAAACTATTCACAACTGAAAGGATCTGGTTTGATTCCTGGACTGGGTGATGTATATGGGCAAATTCAGTTCATGTGTCACATTGTACATAGAATAAAACACTGAGTTAAGTCATCATAGCTATCAATTACTGGCTTATAGAAAAGCCCCAGAAGATGGAGTTAATTCCCTTGAAACACTTTTGAGGACACAAAGGTGAAAAATTTTCAAGTTCAAAGTTCTCACCTTTCTCTCCTGGTGTACCTTGCTGACCCTTGAAACCATCGAACCCTGGTGGTCCAGGGGCACCGTTCATGCCTGGTGCCCCTGGTTCACCCTTGGGTCCTGCCTTCCCATCATGACCTGGCAGTCCCTGGTGATACATATATGGTTAATAATATTCTTAGCCTCATCTCTGTTAGCATCTTAAGATTCTTTTGTTTCTGGGATTCAACTTCATTAGAGAATTCAATATTTAATAAGTAAATAATTATATATCTAGCCTACATTTATATTAAGGCACACTAGACAAAGATAACTTTTCACAACTAACCTACATATTGAAGATAAAGTTTCAGATGATGTTTCATCCATCCTAGACCATTACAAAGTCATCACTATAATGGCCCAGTATGGATAGAAACATCGTATAAATATTTTTTTTTTATTATCACACTGGCCGATTCCCACCAAGGCAGGGTGGCCCGAAAAAGAAAAACTTTCACCATCATTCACTCCATCACTGTCTTGCCAGAAGGGTGCTTTACACTACAGTTTTTAAACTGCAACATTAACACCCCTCCTTCAGAGTGCAGGCACTGTACTTCCCATCTCCAGGACTCAAGTCCGGCCTGCCGGTTTCCCTGAACCCCTTCATAAATGTTACTTTGCTCACACTCCAACAGCATGTCAAATATTAAAAACCATTTGTCTCCATTCACTCCTATCAAACATGCTCACGCATGCCTGCTGGAAGTCCAAGCCCCTCGCACACAAAACCTCCTTTACCCCCTCTCTCCAACCTTTCCTAGGCCGACCCCTACTCGTATAAATATATCACTTTAATTTGTAAGTTAGTTGTGAGCTGTTTTAACCATGGTATTGTGGCTTGTATTCTTCACAACCATTGTATTATGCTCTGATAGCACTTAAGAGTAGAAATCTGTATTATGCTTTACTCAGAGACAAGCAAAATTAAAGCCATGGGGACCTATGAAAGTATCATTTCAATAAAACCTGCATAATTTTCCAGATGACTTAATTGTTAAATCAAGTGCTGACTCACCCTTTCTCCTTTATCGCCTTTCCTGCCTGTGTTGCCTCTCTCACCCTTGGCACCAAGGTAGCCCCTGCTTCCCCTAGGCCCTGGGGGACCCTGCTCACCCTTCTCCCCAGGGGTACCCGGAGTGCCTGGCCGGGCTGGGGCTACTGCTAGACCACCATCAACCTTTGAGAAAAACCAGCCACCATTAAAGCTTAGTGCTTAGTCTTTTATATTTTATGACACAAACAAACTGACATGGATATATTAAATCAAAGGATGAGATACATAACATATATTTCAGTCTCACAATGGTTCTCCTTGGAAGACATGAGATGAAGTTCCATACAGAGTGAACTGCTGGTTCAGTTCTTGGATTTATCTCTGAGGTGTGAGGGTAGGAGACTTCTGAGACATAGCAAGAAAAGAATAAGGTTTTACAAATTCATTCAGTGGAGAGATTCATATATACTTAAAGAAATGTCACAGACAAGTCATGATTTACACAAATTTACCAATTTTCCTTAAAACTGAAAGAAAAGGTGGGAATATATAGATATTAAACTCCTGTGTGCATGCCGGAAAGTGGTGATATTCATTAATATCAAAGGATTTTAATATCTGAAAAGTATGTAACTATTTATCATCATCTTTAATATCCAGAGGAGTATTTAATATCATATTGTTACTGCTTACTCTATCAAGACCAGGTTTTACTTATGATTAATATAACTGTTGGAAGAACTGAAAAAATACCGAAAAGCCTAGTCATTACCTTAAACATTGTTCGTGGTTTCCACATTGGCTGCATGAAGGATACAAAAATGATTTAAAACCAGATTTTTCGCAGAGAAATCTACTGACTGTTAAAGATTACTTTTGACATCAAGAAACCAGTATACTACAACTACAGATAACACAATAAATCACAACTTACAAAGTGAAATTAAAACTATATGGCATTGTAGTCAGTTCTGAGCAGTTATTAAGTTATGACTTGTTAAAGATGGGCTGAAAAGTCATTTAGTTTCATCTCTGCAGTTTGTTTAAGTAAATAATTGTTCCAGTCACGGCACTACAAACCTTATTGTACACAAAGTCATTCAGTGAACTAAGCATGCCGTCTCATTCTATAACTAATATATTTTTATAATGTATCAAGCATCGATACATAGATCACAGTTGAACAACTGAATTAACTGCATCCTCATCATCTTTAAAATTGTTTCAATTTCATTATTGTATATTGTGCTTGATGATTGCTCAACTATTTAATCATTACTTCACACTTAAAATTCTTTCAATTACATTGTTTTAAATTGTGCTAAATTGTAATACTTCATTTTTTATATACTACAGTGGACCCCCGGATATCGGCCAAATCGGATTTGGGCAGCTTTTTTGGCCAAAATTCTATCCAGGATTTTGGCCGACAACTCGGAAATTGGTCATATTGGACGTGTCCGCCCACCACGCGGACTGTGCAAGTCAGTCTGGCAGTCTCTCTCAGTGAGTGAGCAACACTCCACGCACTCATCTAAACATTTCGTTCTAATCCATTGTTTTTTGTAGTTGTTTATTTGTGGGCCCAAGAGCTAACCAATGAAGAGCTGCAAGACCTTCATCTACAACAGTAACAGACCACAGCTGAGTAAATTGGTTCAGAGGAGGAGGAAGAGAGAGGGAAGAAGGTGCCTTCTTCAGCGATTAAGTACATTTCTGCAAAGTGGAGGGAGGTGCAAAGTTTTGTGGAGAAATATCACCCTGACCAAGTTGAAACAAGCCGTATTTGCAATCCCTCTCTGGGGTTACTTCCCTTCTTTGTTTTTTACTGGCACACCAGGACCAGTTTGAGAGTCACTGCACCCTTAGCACACAAAAAAACTGTCCAGAGAGGTCTGTTTCTGGCATCTCTAAGATTTGCCTGAAGCAGGACAAGGTTTTGTCACTGAATTCTATCGTGTTTCTCACTTTCTTTACCAAAGGGCTGGTACTAGGAACTTCCTTTGGGTGCATGGTGGCTTATTTCGCAGTCGCACTCAATAAACAACCACAAAAAACAATGTATTATAATGAAATGTTTGAATGAATGTGCAGAATGTTCCTCACTCACCCAGAGACACAGCCAGACTGACTCAGAAACGTGGGGGAATGGCGGGGGGATGCAATCAATACAGCCAATTTCCAAGTTGCTGGCCGAAATCCAGGATAGGATTTCGGCCAAAAAAGCGACTGATATCCGGGGTTCCACTGTATATCAAAACTGAAATTATTCTCTACCAAACTTATGAAAGCCATATAGCATGAACTAGTTGAATATTCAGTTTCCTTCTATTCACTGTAACTTGCCTAACCCTTTCACTGTCGGTGTTGGTACAGTAATACAACGTAAAAATTCTAGCTCCTTCAAATTTGGTGGGAGAAAGCTGGTAGGCCTATATGTGAGAGAATGGGTATGTATGGTCAGTGTGCACAGTATAAAAAAATCCTGCAGCATGCAGTGCATAATGAGAAAAAAAAACTCCGACCATGTTTTTGGTATACAATGCCGACTTTGAGGTGTATTTTTGTATGGTATATTTGGTTGTATTCTCATTTTCTTGGTCTCATTTGGTAGAATGGATGCTATATTACAGAAATAAAGATGATTTTGATTAGTTTCATGAAGAAAAGTACCTTGAAATTGAGCTGAAAGTAGCGGAAATGTTCGATTTCTGCCGATGTTCAATGTAAATAAATGACGTTACCTTCCAATATGTGTCCAACTGGCCAGTCTAATATGCATTCACGAATGAGCTGACATTATTTACAGAATTATTACAATAATGCAGTAGTCTGCATAACAGTAAATCTTCTATTTTTGTGTGAATAAAAATTCAAAATGGAAAGCAAGAGAAATAAAAGAGGGGCCTGGAGACATGACTAATGAACAGAGAAAATGTTATTTTAGTGCCAGGAATGTCTGCATTGTTTATTCTGGAACCTATTTTGAAACTGGCATCTTTTGAAATTTGTGTGAAATTGGCCAAATTGCCAATTTCTGACCATTTATTGGGTAGTTGAATTCAGTAAATGGGCAGTTTTTTGTATTCAATTGATAGAACAAATGGAGTTCTAGCGAAATAGCTATGAGTTTTGTCGACTGGAACAATGGAATTGGCTGAAAATAGGGCTCAAAGTGGGCGAAATCACCGACGCATATATATTGCCAAGACCATGAGAGCATAATTCCATAAGTTTTCCATCAAATTTTGTACTTTTGGTGTCATTACCATTATTTCATAAGAAAAAATAATTTTTTTTTTTTTTAAATTCTTCAACACTGAGAGCAAGTTTGTGAGCAGGGGTCTTGACAGTGAAAGGACTAATGACCATATGTAAAATTACAGCACTGTTATTGCCTTATTAATCTTAAGTTAGTCTTAAGCTTGCCCAAAATGCTCTGCATATAAAGGGACTTTTGGCATGTTCACCAAATTGTTACACTCCTTTGTAAAAACATGTATCATACTAAAATAAACTTGTTATTGCTATTGTTGCCACCAATGTGCATGTTACCCACTTTATAATAAAATATTGTCATTGACTGAATTGTTATTAGAAAAGTTTGACCCTTACATCGAAGCCTGCATTTCCCCAGCCAGGGGATCCTGGTGGCCCTTGAGGTCCTCTCTCGCCTGGTAGACCCGGAGCCCCATCCACACCTGACTCGCCTTTAGGGCCCTGCAGTCCCTCGGGTCCTAGACAGACACACAGATGATTACATTAAGTGATTCTACATTGAAGAAAATAAAGTTTTAGTTGTAATTTAATGAGACATAAACCTTTGTGAGCATAGTATATGTAATATTGTTTAATAAAGTTTCCTGATATGAACTCTTAATGTTGCATTTGTGAAGGCATCTTTTTTTTTTTTTTCTAGTACACCATACCCCCGCCCTGCAATATGTTAACCAATCTTTCACTGCCTGGATTTTTTGTTATTCTCATCACCTTGCTCTTTCCTACATTCAGTATTAACTTCCTCCTTTTACATACCTTCTCAAATTCCTCCACCAACCTTAGCAACCTCTGTTCACAACCTCCCAAAAAATCTGTCACATTCAAAAAGCAACTGTGACACTTTCCCTTTTGTAGCTAATTCATTATCTTTTAAACTCACTTCTCTACTCAACACTCCAGTATTCACTGCTTTTACAACCTCATCAATAAATGTTAAGCAATCATGGTGATATCACACATAAGGAAATTTATTAAGGTACAGGTACACATAAGTTCAGTTACACAAATTTAGGTGATTACAATTATTATACATAGTAACATGCATAAATTACCTAGAATAACCCAGAAAAATTAGACAAAGTGACTTATTTCCATTGGGGTCCTTGTAATACCTTATCACCTTCACATTATCCCTGCCAGAAGATCAGACACTGAGTATGTCTACACCCTACCTGGGCTGCCAGGGTCTCCCCTGTCTCCTTTACTGCCTGGAGGACCTTCTGGCCCACGCTCCCCAGGGGCTCCAGGTCTCCCTGATGTGCCTGGTGTCCCCGGTACACCATCCCTTCCAGCAGGACCTTCTGGACCAGGCAGTCCTTTGGGCAGTGTGGCCAGCACAGTGGCCACTAAGCTGGTCATGTTACAGGTACACTCGCCCTGGGGTCCAGGCGGCCCTTGCGCTCCTTCCCCAAACTCCATCGACTGAAAAGTGAGAGAAAAATTAGGGTCCCCTGCAATATTTTTTGATTAACACCTCAAGATGAAGATTACATGGAACCGAGTTACCAGCTGAAATACCATACAGCATGATGAAGTATAACACAAGACAAGATGTAAAACACACAATATGAAATATAACACAAGACAAGACCTAAAATACACAACATGAAGTACAATACACAAGACATGAGGTATAACACACATTCATGAAGTATAACACACAAGACATGAAGTATAACACAAGACATGAAATATAATACACAAGACATGAAGTATAATACACAAGACATGAAGTAAAACACAAGACATGATGACTCACCATGAGGTTCTCACCATCACCTGAGCCCAGCTCAGGCATGTCTGTGACAAAGCCTCTCCCTGGGGGCCCTGGGGGTCCCGGTGGCCCTGGTGGTCCCGCTACTGATTCCCCCGGGGGACCCTGTGGTGGAGAAAGAAAACATTACCCTGAGATACATATTCTAAACAGAAATATATAACTCAGGGTCATAATAAATGCCAAAACACAATTTTTTTTTTAACTTAAAATGTAATATACAGTAGATGGTCAAAAAACACATGTTCCTTTACCACATTTTCTCTATCATACTATTGCAAAATTGCATCATATTTCTGACCAACACTCCATAATATTCAACTAACATGGTGCCACTTCTGGGGAAAAACTTTGGAGCACCATGAGCTGGATGGTGGGATTTTTTCCCTCTGTCTAATGGGCTTGTAGGCAGTCTGCTTGTGGGTCAGGCCATTGTCTTTGTGGGAAAGGCCTAGCTTCCTCTCCTGCCACCCTTGTCTCACTTCCCATGTCTCACTGCTCTGCACATGTGTCACGTGTTATTCTCATATCTGTGTTTGTGAATCAGGTTTTTATCTTTTCTTCACCATATCATGCATCTGTAAAGTAACCATGGCACCCAAGAGGCACTTGAAAGATGCAGAAAGTGGTAAGAAAAAGTTTATGCATTCAATTGGTGTTATAAAGAAAATCGAGATATTAGACAAGCTTAAAAATGGTGCACGTGTGGTGGACACGGCGAGAGCTTATTGCTTTAATGAAGCATGAGTTCGTACAATTAAAATGAATGAGGCAAATATATGGGCTTGTGGAATGAATAATTCAGATTGACACCTCATGAAAAGAATGACACATAGATCACGACAGGTAAATAAAACAGAAAATTTACCAATTGAGTGGATCAAATGAAAAACAAACTTAATTTCATGTTAATTAGGGAAAAAGCCTTACAACTGTATAAAAAGTGTGTGATGAAGAGGGAAGGCCTGAACAAGAGTGTGTGTTAAGCACTGGCTGGTTCCACAAGTTTCAGTTATGTAATAGGTTACATAATATTAAAGTTTCTGGTGAAAGTGCTTCCACTGATCATACAGCAGCAAGCAATTTCCCTGCTGAATTGCAAGAGATTATTTCTGAGGATGGCTACAAGCCACAGCAAGTGTTTAATGCTGATGAGACAAGGGGTTTTTGGAAGATAATGCCGACAAGAACTTATATCAGTCAGCAAGAGAGCAAGTAAAGTTTATTTCTTTGTAACGGTTACAATGTGTGATTACAATTTTGATTTGCTAAGTACAAAGATAGCCACTATCATGCCAAGGCATTTTAGGCAGACTAATCCTAATACTGTATAAATATTGGTCAGAGAGCCTGTCATAAGTCCGAGGTGTCGGTAAACGAATACGTCATTAAGTGAGGAGAGGCTGTATTTAATTGTAGGAAGTCAGGTGTAGGTAGCCCTGGCTCCCTGTTCCAAACTTAATATACAATATTTAAAGCAGTCCAGAGAGATAAAATACACATACAGTACACTCATTATTTATTATAAAATATGTGTAGTCTTAATGGAGGATGAGAGGTGAGTAGTATTTACAGTGGAACCTCAAAAATCGAACTGCTCCCAACATGACCAATTATGTAAGTGTATTTTTGTAAGTGCTTTTATAAGTGTATTTTTGAGGGTTTGAAATGGACTAATCTAATTTACATTATTCCTGATGGGAATAAATTCATTCGGTAAAGGCACTCGAACAGCCTTCTGGACCGAAGAAAGTTCGATATTTGAGGTTCCACTGTATTTGTAGGAGTTCAGGTGCAAGTAGCCAGTAGATGTAGCCTGCCTGGGCTACATAGCTAAACAATATTTAATGTGGCCCAGAGCCATATTATTACCAATTACATACCTTGTTCACTGAGTTTAATCATTTCTAACAACTACCTTCAGATGCCATCATAAACAAAGGGAGAAGTAATGAGAATTCATGCCGAGAACTGTAAACAAAGCAGAATGTGTTAAGGGGAGTGACTGGGCCAAATGCAGATTCATACACATTTTCTCTGGTGCTGGACTAGAGAAAACGTAATGTTTTCCCTCTGCCCGGCTACCACACTTCATATTTATGTGACATTTATTGTACTGTGGGTGTATGTATCATGTTTCTATGCTATGTAATATGTTTCTTAAATAATTTTGAAGGCAATATCATAGATGGGTTAATGAAAATGTCTATATTAACATAAAATATGACATTTCATGTGCCCAAGAGTGATTATTATTACGTACTATTAGTATTATTACTATGGTATTAAGACTAGAGGGACACTCTTAGTGATTTTAATGTGTACCTACATGCCAGCACAGTGCGCAAGCATATTTAGGTACAGGTACACATAAATATAATTATCAGAGTACATATAAAATATGCAATAACTTTAAAACAATTGAAATTTTGGAAAGTTTCCGGACATAATAGTCTTCAGCTTCCAATTGTGACCCCTTGTTTCTGTGTCCCCTCTCTGGAACATCTTGTCTCTGTCCACCTTATCTACTCCATGCAGTATTTTGCATGTCATTATCACATTTCCCCTAATCCTTCTGTCCTCCAGTGTCATCAGGCTGATTTCTCTAAACCTTTCTTTGTAGGACATTCCCCTGAGTTCCAGAACTAACCTTGTTGCAAACCTTTGCACTTTCTCTAATTTCTTGATGTGTTTGACCAGGTGTGGGTTCCAAACTGGTGCTGCATACCCCAGTATGGGCCTAATGTACACAGTGTACAGTGTCTTGAATGATTCCTTACTAAGATACGGAACGTTATTATCAGGTTTGCCAGGCGCCTATATGCTGCAGCAGTTATCTGGCTGATGTGTGCTTCCAGAGACGTGCTCAGTGTTATGCTCACCCAAAGATCTTTCTCCTTGAGCAAGGTTTGCAGTCTTTGGCCACCTAGCCTATACTCTGTCTGTGGTCTTCTTTCCCCTTCCCCAATCTTCGTGACTTTGCATTTGGCGGGGTTGAATTTGAGAACCCAGTTGCTGGACCACATGTTCAGCCTGCCCAGGGCTCTTTGTAGTCCTGCCTGATCCTCATCGGATTTAATTCTCCACATTAACTTCACATCATCTGCAAACAGGGACACTTCTGAGTCTATCCCTTCCATCATGTCATTCACATATACCAAAAATAGCACTGGTCCTAGGACTGACCCTTGTGGGACCCCACTCATCACAGGCACCCAATGTGATATCTTATCACGCACCATGACTCATTGTTGCCCCCCTGTCAGGTATTCTCTTCCTGTTATATGCGCCTGATCCTCCAGCTTCTGCACTAATCTCTTGTGTGGAACTGTGTCAAAGGCCTTCCTGCAGTCCAGGAAAATACAATCATCCCACCCCTCTCTCTCATGTCTTACTTCTGTTACTTTGTCATAAAACTCCACAAGGTTTGTGACAGAGGATTTGCCTTCCATGAAGCCGTGCTGGTTGTCGTTTATAATTTTGTTCCGTTCCAGGTGCTCCACCACTCTCCTCCTGATAATCTTCTCCATGACTTTACCTGCTATACATGTCGGTGACACTAGTCTGTAGTTTAGTGCCTCGTTTCTGTCTCCTTTCTTAAAAATGGGGACTACATTTGCCATCTTCCATACCTCAGGTAGTTGCCCAGTTTCAAGGGATGTGTTGAAGATTGTGGTTAGTGGCACACACAGTACCTCTGCTCCTTCTCCAAGGACTCACGGGGAGATGTTGTCCGGTCCCATCGCCTTTGAGGTATCAAGGTCACTTAGCAGCTTCTGCACCTCCTTCTCAGTTGTGTGTATGTCATCCAACACTTGTTGGTATATTCCCTATTGGTGTTTCCCTCTATGCTGTCTTCCCAGAGTTCTTCCTATCTCTACTGTAAATACTTCCTTAAATCTTGTGTTGAGCTCCTCACATACCTCTTGAACATTTCTTGTGAATTCCCCACCTTCTTTTCTCAGCCTGATCACCTGGTCTTTGACCGTTGTCTTCCTCCTAATGTGGCTATACAGCAGTTTTGGGTCAGACTTGACTTTCAATGCTATATTGTTTTCGTACTGTTGCTGGGTCTCCCTCCTTATCTGTGCATACTCGTTTGTGGCTCTTCGACTAATCTCCCTATTCTCCTGGGTCCTTTGCCTTCTGTACTTTTTCCTTTCTCTAGTGCACTTAGTTTTTGCCTTCCTACACCTTCAGGTAAACCAGGGGTCCGTTCTGGTCTTCCCATTATTTTTGTTGCCCTTGGGAACAAACCTTTCCTCTGCCTCCTTGCATTTTGTTGTTACGTATTCCATCATTTCGTTTACTGACTTTCCTACCAATTCCCTGTCTCACTGAACCTCCTGAAGGAAGTTCCTCATACCTGTGTAGTCCCCCCTTTTATAGTTTGGCTTTTCCCATTCAACTCCTGCTACCTTCTCCACTTGTAACTCTATGTATTCAAAGCACAGAACCACGTTATCACTAGCTCCAAGGGGGCCTCTCATATGTGATGTCCTCGATGTCTGAGCTGCTCAGGGTGAACATGAGGTCCAGTCTTGTTGGTTCATCCTGTGTGTGTGTGTGTACTCACCTAGTTGTACTCACCTAGTTGAGGTTGCAGGGGTCGAGTCCAAGCTCCTGGCCCCGCCTCTTCACTGGTCGCTACTAGGTCACTCTCCCTGAACCATGAGCTTTATCGTACCTCTGTGTGTGTGTGTGTGTGTGTGTGTGTGTATACTCACCTAGCTGTACTCACCTAGTTGTGGTTGCATGGGTCGAGTCACAGCTCCTGGCCCTGCCTCTTCACTGGCCACTACTGGGTCACTCTCCCTGCACCATGAGCTTTATCATACCTCTTCTTAAAGCTATGAATGGATCCTGCCTCCACTACATTGCTTCCCAAACTATTCCACTTCCTGACTACTCTGTGACTGAAGAAATACTTCCTAACATCTCTGTGATTCATCTGAGTCTTCAACTTCCAACTGTGTCCCCTTGTTGCTGTATCCTATCTATGAAACATTCTGTCTATGTCCACCTTGTCAATTCCTCTCAGT